AAAAAAAAACCTGCTACTTGTTTAATTCCAAATTTACACAGGCTGCTGCTTGTATCCATTTTGTTCATGAGGTGCTGCTTCATTTTGAGTTGGAACGAAAATATAAGGACGAATTTTTCTTGATTAATTCTGAGCCGGTTAATTCCGATTTGTTCAAGGCTGCTTCTTTAACATTTTGAGTTGGAACGAAAATATAAGGCGCTTGATATTTGTTCAAGGCTGCTTCTTTAACATTGATTCTTTGGACTTGATATTTGTGCTAGTGCGCATTATTTCAAAAAAAAATAAAAAAAAATTATGGTTTCTTCTCCAACATCTGATTTTGGCCACAGTGATGGTTCTCGTGCAAATGCGGCGTTCTCCAGTGGTTCGTTTGTTGCCGGTTCTGTTGGTTCTTTCACTACTAGTGGAGCTTTGAGTGATTCTGATCGTCTTGCACTTGGCGGTTTAACCAATGAACAATGGTCTCACTTTGTGTTTTTGGTTAATTCAGCTAAACAAGATAATCCTTTGTCTAGTACGCGTGGTTTATTTGATTGGATGTACGACAGTGGTGCAACTCATCATATGACAGGGTTCCTAGAGTTTATCTCTGATGTTCGGGATATTCCCGCCCGTCCTGTTCAATTGCCTAATGGTTCCTTGACTATGGCTAGCAAGGCTGAGACTGTTTATTTGGGATCTCATATCACTCTTTATGATGTTTTATACGTACCCAGTCTTCGGTGCAGCTTGATATCATTATATCAATTGTTGGATCGTTCTGACTGCACCGCTCAGTTCAGTAATAAATTTTGTGTTATTCAAGACCGCACTTCGCGAAAGGTGATTGGCGCAGGTGAGCAGTGGGGGGGTCTCTACTTCTTTCGAGGGACAGTTTCTACGGAAGTTTCTTGTGTTCGAAAGGTTTCTGTCGATGTGTGGCATCAACGTTTGGGTTATCCCTCTGCTCAAGTATTGTCTCAGGTTCCTGTTATTGATTATAGTTCTCGTAATTTGCATAGATCGTGTGAAGCTTGTTTTCGTGCTAAACAACATCGTCGTAGTTTTCCTCGCAGTCAGACTGTTAGTCATGAGATTTTTCATTTGATTCATTGTGATTTGTGGGGTCCGTATCGTGTTCCGTCCTTCAGTGGTGCACGATATTTTTTGACTATTGTGGATGATTGTTCTCGTGGAACATGGGTTTATCTATTGAATGATAAGACGGAGGTTACTTCCACATTGCTGAATTTTTTTTCTATGATTAAGCGACAATTTGATAAATTGGTGCGTGTTGTTCGTAGCGATAATGGAAGTGAGTTCATGTGTTTGGCCTCTTATTTTCGTCGTCAAGGGATTGTGCATGAGACTTATTGTGTAGGCACTCCTCAACAAAATGGGCGTGTAGAACGCAAACATCAACATATTCTTAATGTAGCTCGTGCTTTGCGTTTTCAGGCTCACCTGCCTCTTCCTTTTTGGGGTCATTGTGTTTTGACTCCAGTCTATCTGATAAATCGGACTCCTTCCTCGGTTTTACATGGTAGAACCCCATATGAGATTCTTTATGGTTCGGCTCCTTCTTTGTCTCATTTGCGGGTTTTTGGTTGCCTTTGTTACGCTCATAACCAAGATCGTAATGGTGACAAGTTTGCTGCTCGGAGTTGTTGTTGTCTATTTGTTGGTTATCCTTTTGGCAAAAAGGGGTGGAGTTTGTATGATTTGGATCGCCAGATTTTCTTTGTCTCTCGTGATGTGGAGTTTCTTGAGTCTGAATTCCCATACCAGTCAGACTCGTCTGAGCCATATTCTTTGCCACCGCCTCTTGTTGTGCCCGTTTCTTCTCCGCCGAATGATGATGAGGATCTTCCGGTTGTCCCTTTGCCTCATGTTTCTCCTGATACTGGGTCTTCTGCTACTGATATGGACACGTCTGACGATAGGGGGGGTTCCATTACCAATACCTCTCCCACTCTTCCAGTGGAGCCCTTGGGTCGTGGTCGTCGGACTAAAATTCCTTCCACTCGACTGAAGGACTTTGTGGTTGACACTGTCCGGCCTTCGAATGAACCCTTCACTGCTTCTCCTCAGTCGTCTCCATCCTCCCGTACTCCTTATCCCATAGCACATTATGTTTCTTGTGATTCATTCCCTCCAGCTCATCGAGCTTTTTTGGCCGATGTCGCCTCTGCTGCTGAGCCTCGCACTTTTTCTGATGCCGTGACTGATCCTCGATGGCGAGCCGCTATGTAGGATAAGATTCGTGCCTTGGAGAATAATGGCACATGGGATGTAGTTTCTATTCCATCTGGGAAGCGTACGATTGGGTCCAAGTGGGTCTTTAAGGTCAAGCATAAGTCTGACGGTTCCATTGAGCGCTATAAGGCGCGTCTGGTGATTTTGGGCAATAATCAGGTAGAAGGTCTTGACTATCACGAGACATTTGCTCCCGTCGCCAAAATGGTTACGGTCCGGTTATTCTTGGTTGTGGCTGCTGCTAAGCATTGGGAAGTTCACCAGATGGATGTTCACAATGCTTTTCTTCATGGTGATTTAGCTGAGGAGGTTTACATGAAGTTTCCTCCTGGTTTTCGTTCTGGCGTTGATGGACAGGTTTGCCGTCTACGTCGTTCCCTCTATGGCTTGAAATAGGCCCCCCGCTGCTGGTTTGCCAAGTTGACTACGGCTTTGAAGCAGTATGGTTTTTGTCAGTCGTATCATGATTACTCTCTTTTTACACTGCATTGTGGTTCTGTCCATCTGCAGGTTCTGGTCTATGTTGATGATCTCATTGTTTCCGGGAATGATACCACATCCATTGTGGCCTTCAAGAGTTACTTGAGTCGTTGTTTTCACATGAAGGATCTTGGATTGCTTAAGTATTTTCTGGGTATCGAGGTTGCCCGGAATTCTTCTGGCTTCTTTCTCTGTCAGCGGAAGTATGCTCTTGACATCATAGCTGAGGTCGGATTACTAGGAAGCAAGCCAGCTGATTTTCCATTAGAGCAGAATCATCAGCTCCCTCTTGCTGAGGGTGATCTATTGTCTGATCCCGAGCGATATCGTCGTTTAGTCGGACGTCTTATCTATCTGGTAGTGACTCGACATGAGTTGTCTTATTCGATGAATATGCTCTCTCAATTTATGCATCGACCGCGTCAGGCTCACTGGGACTCTGCTCTGCGTGTGGTTCGATATTTGAAAAGCTCTCCTGGTCAGAGGATTCATCTTCGTACTGACTGCGATCTTCAACTCTATGCTTGGTGTGATTCGGATTGGGCGTCTTGCCCTCTCACTCGACGTTCTCTTTCTGGCTGGTTTATTCAGCTGGGTCAGTCTCCTGTTTCTTGGCGAACCAATAAACAACCTACTGTCGCACGATCTTCTACTGAGGCTGAATATCGGGCGATGGCTACTACATTGTGCGAGTTGAAGTGGTTACGGGGACTATTATCTACTCTTGGCGTCGCTCACTCTCAGCCTATGCGGTTATACTGTGACAGTCAGTCTGCACTGCATATTGCGGCGAATCCAGTTTTTCACGAGCGGACTAAGCACATTGAGGTGGATTGCCACTTTATTCGAGATGCTGTTCTTCAGGGTCTCATTTCTACTACTCATGTTCCTTCTGGGGAACAGCTCGCTGACATCTTCACCAAGGCGCTTGGGAAGCGTGAATTTGATTTCTTTCTTGGCAAGTTGGGCATTCGGAATCCGCATGCTCCAACTTGAGGGGGGGGTGTTATTGTGTATATTTGTGTATTTACTATATTAGCCTTAGGTTCTCTTTAGGTAACTGCAACCCTAATTTTGTGTATATATATTCATGATTAATAGAGAATTGTATCATCGACTTGAGATGATCTTCCCACAAAATTACATCTTGTGTCTCTCGTAACAACAACTTTTTTTTTTTAAATAGGTAAAACATATTTTTTTGTATGTATTTATTATTATTATATTTTTATTGGTTGTTTAGTGTACTAGACCTAGTACTTTTGTATTTTGTATTGAATAACTTTTTATTTTTTAGCTTGAGTTTGTCCATGTACTTAAGTCTAAAAGCATTTTGGGTGCTTACTAATAAAAAAATGATATTGAAATTTGAGCCTTGAATTGGTACACGTACACTTCTTAGTTTAATCAAAGTAAAGGATGTTGCTTGAGAAAGTGTGAACGTACCCCATAGTTTTGACATATGAAAAATATTATCGTGCTTTGATTTGCGAGATCAAATCAGGAACATGCGATGTATATCCTCGAAATTTGGGTTGCAAATTTATCGAGCCTGATTGAGTTTTTTTTTAGCTAGCTCGAGCTCATTTTGATAAAAAATTATAATAGCTCGAACTCGGCTTGAGTTCGATTCGAAAATTTTTATTTTTTTAGCTAGTTCGAGCTCGGCTCGATAAAATATTACAATAGCTCGAGCTCCGCTTGAGTTCGACTTGAAAATTTTTAAGTGGAAAGGTAAAATTACTATTAAGCACATATGCCAATATATATAATAGGGGTATTTTAATAATTTAAAGTGTATCTTGAGGCTTTCGACAAGACAAAATATGAACTTGAACTCGGCTCGAGTTCATACTCGAGCTGCTGGAGCTCGAGTTGAGCTTTAACTCGAGCACTCGCGAGACGCTCGATCTTTTGGTGCCCTACTCGAACCATTAAACTAAAACCATGATTTATATATCCAATATAAATAAATAATTGTTTGGTTTAACATAAATAATCCATTATTATCCAAAAGTAACCATGATTTATTTATTTATTGTTTGGTATCCCTAATTGCCAACCTTGCCATGTGCAATCACCTCAAGCACATGGATTCCAATTCCTTTTTCCCCATCTTTACCAACCTAATAAGTAATAAACAACTTCTCACACCACACACACCAAACTTGAAAAAATTAAAAATCATCATAAGTACTACTCTTTCTAATTTCCTTCTCTCCAAGCTCTAATTAGATGGAGCAAGTAATTCAAACAAGGACTAAAACATGCCTCCTCTTCTCCTTCATCTCCTCTTATGTCTTAATCTCATTGCTCGACAAAACGATGCAAGCCACGTTGGCGCCACTTGTCCTCGCCTTATTGGTCGCGATCCTAGTCGTGTTTGCCGTGCGGACAACGATCGTGACGTGGATAACCGTGATGGTTCTGCTGGCCTTTGCTGGCAAACGCCGTCGGGTTCTGGTTAAGGAAGGGAGAAAGATCACGTCTGATGTGGCAATGTCTCTCGTTAGGTCTTTTTTTTCTTGAACATGTCATAACTTTTTTTTTCTTGTGACGACTCTTGCTTTTTGTACATTTGGATGCATCTATAATTAAGGAATGTAATAAGTTCCCAAGTGTTGTATATATAATTAGGATTTATTTTTTCCTCCTATGTATCTTGTTGGTCTTTCTTTTAGAAGTTTTCTTTCCTTTTTATGTACTTTTTTGCAGTGTAGGGAAATTTCAGTCTCTTCTTGCAAGAAAATTTAAAGAATAGATCATTGATATGTACCAGCTTTGGCTTGGAAGCTCAGATATTCATTCCTGCTAGTGGAGGGTCATGGGTAGAGGTGTTAAACGAGTCGATATCGAGCTCGAGTTTTTAAGAGCCGAGCACGGCTTGTAGGATGTGCAAACTAGGGGTGTTTACGGTCCGGATTGGTCCGATTTTAACCCAAACCATGACCAAACCGGACCTAAGGGTTATTTTGATTGGTTATAAGAGCATCTCCAAGAGCCTCCCTATTTCTCTTTTTTATCTCAAAAATAGGGATTTTCTCTCAAAAGCTATCTCCAACAGTTCCCCTAAACTTGGTCCTATTTTTAGGGTGACCTCAAATAGAGGCTTCTCTTCCTCATTTATGGGGAGGGAAAAACGACCCCCCATTTCAAATAATAATAATAATAATAATAATAATAATAATAATAATAATAATAATAATAATAATTTAAAAAGAAATAATATTATATTAATACATGAAAAAATATAACAAATAATTAATAATAATAATAATTAAAATTAAAAAATTAAAAAAATTAAAATTGTTCAAAAAAATAATTTAGTTAATAATAAATTACTAATTATAATAATTAAAAAAATTAGTGAATATTATAAAATTAGTTAATTACTATTATAATCGTTAACAATTACAATATCAAGTGGGCTTCAAGTGGGCTTTTAGATAGATTTGTGGGCCTGGTTCATATTCAAATTATAAAATAGGGAGACTCTTGGAGAATAACAGAAAATAAGAAGCAAATAAATATAGGATGACTCCTTATTTCTCCAAATAAGAAGTCTAAAATAAGAAGTCTCTTGGAGATGTTCTAAAGGGTGAAAGTAAGAGAGGAATGTTGTTGATCATTGGTATTCTATCAACTCAATACACTAATTTAGTGATGATAATAAACTAATTAAGTTATTAAAATTTGATATTATCTAATGTATTTGTGTAAAATTAGATAAACCAGAGTCGAATACTTTTGAAATTGCGGTTGGATATTCACCTTTAATAGTTGTATTAAATGATGGATTTTTTTTTTTTACAAATATTTTTTTGAACCCTTTTTAAATGGATTACTTGGACTATTTATAGTAAGATGGCCCGATCACCGTTCTTCGGACAATATAATCTTATCATTAAATAGAAAAAAACTGGAATTAAATGTTGCACGTGACTCTGTGAAACTTTTCGACGTAGGCGGGCAGGCTTTTGTCTGGTTCTCCCGTCATGCGAGCACAAGTTGCCATTATTTTAGGCATTTTTCACTGTGTGATCAGTTTTGGCTTTTATGCTGGGGATCCCCTTATCCAACTAAGGTCACAAACTCGGCTTTTCCGCCGAGCGATTAACTGATCGGTTCCCCTCTAAGCGTCTCTTTGTTCTAGCCTGACTCTCGCTCCCCATCTTCTTCGGAGTTCCCTTTCATAGTCTGCCAACCCGAGCCTCATACTTAAGAAAAAAATCACTTGTTTTATAACATTACTTATATGTGGGTTGTTTGCACAGCTCAGCCAATCACTTGCACAATGGTAGTTGAACCATCTCTAAGGGACAACAACCACGTCAGGTCCATGCTGGACTATATTAACCGCCTAGCCATGTGTCATCCTCGCATGCTTTTTCAAAATCTCTATTGTTCCCTCCAACAGTTTGAACATTGTGTTAATAATCGTTCGCGCCAATTGAGGCCAACTCTTAGCCATTGACCTTGCTTAAGTCCGACCATGTCTAATTAGCCAGTCATCCAAACCATCAATCTTAGCCTTCAAATTGAGCCCACATGCAGGTAAGGCGTTATACAACCCTATGTACAACCTTCTCGAACCGAAACCTCAATGTCACCAAAAACCCTTAACCATGTTAGGTGATTAGGTCCATTTCCCAAGTGCATGACACATGGCCGAGATCATCCTATTAACTATTAAATGTATTAGAGAGTTTCCTCAACTCCGTTGCCTAATATTCACAGGACCGAACCTCCAGTCATTGATAGAATACAGTAAATTTCCCATTCAACTAGGACTTCTCGACAAGATAGAAAAAAAACTACCTAGATTTTGGGACGCTCATTCCCTATTTCGGCATTTCGCAACTTTGACCAGTAAGTGTTCGTACATGCAAACTTAAGGATGTAACAATTGCACACTTCTTTTGTATTTATGTAAAAAAAAAATATATCAATATTATTATGTTCAAAAATATATATTGGACAAGTAACGGAGGCAAATAGAGGCGACCACCATGCAGGTTTGGTCCTTTGACCATGGCTCCAAACCTAACCTAGAACCAATCCCACCCATCGGATCTTGTGCCTAAAATTTTGATCAAAATTCGTTGGACCTACTACAATTTAATTTCGATCGTTGAAACTTGTGCCTGTTGCAAGATCAACGACCAAATTTTGTTTACTCGCAACTGAAAGATGAATGTGTGTGTTTTTTTTAAGGCACTTGAACCAACCGAGTCAGCTCGAAATCGATTTATCCAAACAGGAAACCGACGAGTTGTTGAACCGGAACACTTCCGCTTCACTTGCGATGATCGTTTTTAACTCAACCACTTTTTGTAACTCAACCCCACTATCATAATTTTTTTACTATAATTAAATAATTCCAATCAAGCATTCTTACACAACACATCAACCTTAATTCACTATTCATCCACTCATATAATTTTAACTAACCATCATTTTAACTTCTCTCTCTTACTTTTTCCATCAAATCAACTTTAATTATTTTATTTTAAATATTATTTTAATACTAGTACAACACCCGTGTATTACACGGGTGCTTGCTAATTTATTTTTTTTTAAATTTAAAATTAATGAGAAAAAGTGGTTTGAAAATTTAAATACCTTTTATAAGAATATATATATTATCATATATTTATTATGATACTTTTTATTTGTGCGACTTACTTGTGTTATATTATACTAATTTTTTAACTTACAATATATAACTACATTAAATATAAATATATCAATTGAATAATTTTATTTTTCTAATAATTTTAATAATTATTATTATTTATTATTATTATAAATATAAATATAATTTATTTATTTTATATATACAATATGGATGTCAAATCGAAGATCATCAAAATATGATTAATTTGATATATTATATATGTAAAATCGATAAGAAATACAAAAGTTATCAACTTTTAAAATACATTTATAATTCAATAGCTTATTGAAGGAAGCAAATCAAAATTTAGGGATATATTAGTCACTTAGTGCCTCACTATGTAAAATTACAAAGAATTAAAGGGTTATATTAGTAAAAGTGATATTAAAATACCTAAGTTAGCTAAATAATATTTATGGAATACCCGAACCTAGATAATTAATTATTAATATATCAATATTAATTGTCCAAACCTAATTACGAAGCATGATTCTTCGCCAAATAGGATTCCGAAGCACCAGAAGCAACCACGTAGGCTCAACGCATTCGAGAATTATATATAGGGAGGATACCCACTAACATCTAACCATACAAATTTTTTAAAAATTAACCAAACCAAACCAAACCAAAGAAAAAAATCAAAATAAAATCCAATCATCGTGCAATTCCTTATTTTAGGGCCCATTGATCCACCGGGTCAGGCCTCTAACTTCACAACCTTCAAGTCTTCAATTAGGACAATTGCTCCACAAAGAAAATTGAAAAACTTTTGGTTTCCTTTGGAAGCTAGAAAGAAAACAATAAATAATAAAAATCGAATAAATAAACTGAAATTGAGAAGAAAAAGAGCCCTCTCATCTTCGCCTGCTCAATCACAAGTATAATTCGACACTTTTCTATAATTCGTTCACGGCTTACCAGTTACCCGTTGAGAAGGATTCTAGAGTGGCACGCCGATATGCGTGGGTTACCCTGAAAGTTGAGTTCATAATTTCTAACCAGCTGATCAGGTGAAGTTTCCCTTGGGTTTTCTGTTTTCATCGCTCATCCGTTTTCCATTCGACAATTTGATTTAACTTTTAGGGCTAGGGTTCTCTTTTTGTAGGAGATAAGCGAGGGTGTACAGAAGAAGGTTATCTTTTGCGGCTTGGAGTTTTGGGCTCTCTCTAGCTATGGCGCATTCTTCCAGCATGGTTATCAAGGTTGTCGCTTGTTACTTTATTTAGTTCTTTTGCTTTGATATTCTAGGTATGCTGTATAAGTTGATAACAGTTCATGCCTGCTAATCGTTGTCTTCGATTTGAAATTGCCGGATATTGAAGTTTTGAAGTAAATTAAGCTTCTTTTCTCTCATGTTGGGTATGCCTGTTTGCTGAAATTGTGTAGCTGGGTTCACTTGGTTGATATTATTTGGGGTTTTGGTTATTTTCATATGGTCATCCTGTTCTTTAGTATGTCATTTTTCTTAGTGGGCTTGGATGGTTGGCCGGGCCATGAGGGTGTTACATTTCTTATTTCTTGCTTGTTCATTCCTTCTGTCCTTTGTTTATAATTAATAATGGTGTAATTGTTTATATTATTTTCCGTAGAGTCCTTATATTTTGAGAGAACTTTGCCAAAAAGGCCATGCTTTCACTTTGCATTTGCATAAATGTCATCTTTACTCTTTATATGAAGTCTATGATGGTCATTATTTTGGTCCTGAAAGTCAAAAGTCTGGCATATTTGCAAACACTTGGGCATAAAGTGACATTGTTGCATATTCTTCATTTTCTGATTTTTTATTAATGCCGAATTCTATTTTGGCATAAGTAATAAGTTAGAACAGCACCATATTGATTTATGAATATGCTTATTTGTGGTATGATGCTGGCCGGAAAAAATGAGACTGACATTTCTTTTATGCTCTTAAGTTCAAGCTGTACTTCTTCCAGTTGTTTATAAAGGGGTTGGGCAAAATTTATTTGATTATATTATTTTATGATCCCCGTGTGAATTATAGTTTACCCTTGAACTTCAAATGCTTGTTAACTGACTCTTTGCATGCTGTATCTTCAGGTGAAGTATGGCGATTCACTTAGGCGCTTCAGTGCCAAGATTGTTGGGGATGAACTTAATTTCACCATGGATGGATTGAGGAAGAAGATCCTTTCCGTTTTCAGCTTTGGTGCGGATGCCGAGCTGATTCTTACTTACGTTGATGAAGATGGTGATGCTGTGACCCTCGCTGATGATGAGGATCTTCGTGATGCGGTGCGGCAGGATTTGAACCCATTGAGAATTACTGTTAAAGTGACTTGGCCTCGCGTTCAGCAGCCACATCAAGATTTGGACATGGGTGTCTCTGAAGTTCTCAGGACATTACCAGGGCCCCTAAAAGAAACACTCTTGATATTGTTTGCTGATTTGGCTTCCAAAGCATCATCTACTGAGTGTGTCCAACAATCAGTGCAAAATCTGAACATTGGCGTGTCCCAAATTCTGAAAACTGTTTCAAAGCCTCTAGCTGAAACTCTCGTGAAGCTCTCATCTGATCTAGCATCCAAGGCATCATCCTCTGCTCCTTGTGTTTTGCTTGTTGATCATTTATCAAAATTGGGTTTGTCCTACTTGGATCAGCTTTTACAGACTGCCCAACCTGGAAGCAGCTCCTTTAACAGAGAGGGTGGTATTCCTGAAAGCGACACAGCTGCTAAGGAAATTAGAGACTTGGGTATCTCAGCCACATCAAAAGATGTACAAGGTGTTAGATCTGGCCATGAGAGTTCGGAAAGAATAAAGCCCAAGGTAACCTTGGGAAGTGATGAAGTGAAAGTTTGCAGTGTGGATGGAGGATCCAATGATAAGTCAGCTGAGAATATAAATGTCACCTATCCTGGCAGTGTTTCTTTACCAAATTCAGGGAAGCCAGATTTTACTTCCCATGGTTCCAGAAAGAACGAGTTGTTCAAGAAGTCCATCTTGAATAAAACAAATGGGAAGTCTCATTTAAACAATCCGCCTATCCATCTTGAAAATAATGTTAGAAAATCAGCATCTCCTGCCATATCCTCTATGGTGCCACCATATGTCAGTAATCCAGGTGAACTTAAAGTTGAACCAAAACCTGCAAATTTCGGTGTTGCTGATCCTACAATGGATGACTGTGTTGATAACAGGGTGAAATCTGATGATTTAGGGAACACTTTAGGCCCGTTTTCTACTACTAATCCTGGGAATTGTTATATCCCGGACCAACATTCCAATTCTGTTCCCACATATCATAACCCATCTTTTGGGCTGGTTATGGGGAATGGTACTGCCGGTTCACAACCTGCTGCTGAGGTGGGTCCTTTAGGGTGGCACATTAGTCAGAATAATTACAGTGCGAATATCTTTCATCCTGGGGTTCGTTGTGATGGTTGTAGGGTTTATCCCATAACTGGCCCTAGATTCAAGTCGAAAGTGTAAGTGTTAATGGGACTGATTGACCTAGTATCTGTTTGGATTGAACTTGTCCTCTTATAATTTACTTTCAATGAGATCTTTTGTAAAGTTGGAGAAAAATAGATAAGTCCTTGTAAAAGATTCGTTTCTTTATAGAATTTTCAGAAGAGCATAAGTTCATTATTGCCTTTGCAGAAAGATGGATTATGATCTGTGCAGCATCTGCTTTGGAGAAATGGGAAATCAAAGTGATTATATCAGAATGGACCGCCCAGCAATTTATCGGCCCCATAATGCTGTATGTGTATTTTCATATCAGCTTCAATTCAGCATAGGTGCTATTGTTCCTTAGGCTATCATGTGGTACACTCATGTTTTTTTAATCCAATTTCAGCAAGGCAGGGAATGGAATCCAAGTTTACAGCAACAGGTTCTCAGGAGTTTTGAGTTCAAACCAGTTGCAGGAAAGCCTGATAGTCTCTTTATTTGTGATGTGAACATATTTGACAATACTGTTATAGCACCTTCAACTCCATTCACCAAGATATGGCGGATGAAGAACACTGGGAATATTCCGTGGCCCAAGAAAACACAACTTGTCTGGATAGGTGGAGATAAGATGAGCAATGAGCTCACTGTGGAAGTAAAAGTGAGTGAATCTTCATTTAGACATCTTTCTTGAGTTCGTGTGCAAGTTAGAATCGTTTTATGTTTCATTCGGTAGGATTATTACGCCCTTTCCGAATTTTACGTGCTCCCTTGATGTATGAGCCAATTGGGCCATTAATGCTGTCTACCCTTTTTTACTTTTTTGTTTTTAAATTTTAATTTGTCATTATCGTTTGTTTCGCCTTGTCAGATATTGGTGTGAAATTATTTTCATGCTTTTGAATGGAATACTTGTGGATTTTATTTTGCAGATTCCTGCAACTGGATTAAAGGTAGATGAGGAGCTCGATGTCACGGTGGATTTCATTTCCCCCAAGACTTGTGGCCGTTATGCCTCTTACTGGAGAATGGCACTTCCGTCAGGCCAAACGTTTGGGCAGCGGTTTTGGGTTGTCATCTTGGTTCGTCACCTTTTTCTATCCATCGACACTGTTTATCTTTTTTCTGACATCTTCTCAGCCTCTTCTCTGGGATATGCTTGTATTATGTTCGTTTCTCTTTATTTTCCAGGTTGACACTTCTCTTAAAGAGTTCCCACGTGAAAACGTTCGGGACCTGAACCTGAACCTACCTCCCGCGAGCAGCTCGTTTGCTGGCTCTGAAATTATCAATGTAGAGCCTGTGTCAATGGTTGAGGATGACCCTTCTGGAGCCAAAAACTTGAAAAAGTCTGAGAAACTAGAGCTGCAGCCAAACGTGGAGCAAGAGCTGAAATTCCCTATAGACAACAGCTTGTTGGTTGGGGATGATTTGAGGCAAGCTGTGGATGAACTCTCTGGTGTTGCTGACTGGGATCCTATTCTAGAGGCGCTGCAAGACATGGTGAGTTTTTATTAACTACAAGTTAAAAAATAAATAAGAATAGAGAGACAATTTTACTTTGGGCTAAGCTTTGCCATTTTGCGGATTCGGTACTACGTATGAGTTTAGTAGTTGTAAAATATATATATATATATATATGATCTCAGCATTCTGTTGCTTGTGAAATGTTTTCAGTTAGTATATTGTTGCTGATTTTTTTTTCCTGATCCTCCAATCACATTCAATCGTAAATTTTATGGAAAAGTATTATTTCACCGTATTGTTGTACACTTTCATATTACCTTATACTATGTACATGTTCTTCCCTTCCATCTCATGAAATTCAATCACTATTTTTTACTTTCATATTTTTTACTTTACATGAACTGTTATCATTGTACTTTTTCGTAGTATAGCACTTCAGTTATCCATTTGTGTTTTTCCGAACATTGGTTTAATGCTATTTTTTTATCTAACAAAAAGAAACAAATGGAATAAGATGTGTTCTATATAATCCTACGACACTTTCTTATGCTTTACAGTGTTCTCATCTTCACCCTTGATTGCTCAAGTTATGTGTAAATTTATGTTTTGTGTATATGGATTTGTGATACAGGGCTTCCATGATACTGAAACCAACAAGATGCTGCTGAAGAAGAATAATGGGAGTATCAAGCGTGTAGTTATGGATCTAATTGCAGGCGAGAAGATTGAGTAAATATTAGTTATTGTATATATTAATATTATGCTATTATGAATAAGTGGCTGGACTCTGAGATTTTCCTTGATTTATAGCTTAGATTGGTCTCTGGTGCTGTGTGTGATTTATGCTCTGGTGATCCCTCTGTTTATTCAAGTGCTATTTAAGTGCCCTTTTATAACTTTTTTGTCTCAATATGGTCTTGAAGCTTGGTTATGCTTGTGAAATGTATAATGATATACTTGGAAGTCACACTAAATTCAGTGTGATTGGTTATTTGAATCTAGTGTAATGTAATGGAGGGTGTTTAAAATGATAAAACTAAATTTACTAGTCAAAGTTAGTGTTTCCTATTTAAGGATTTTAGTTGGTCAAGTTGCCAAGATTCTAGTCAAAAAAGATTGATGATAAAATTTCTTAGTATTCTCATTATATTGGTTTAATGATACACACTCGTCTATTGGATTAATACCCACACACGAAAGGGTATGTGTGTGTGTGTTAATGTTGATCCAACGATAAAAAACTCAGTGACTTGACTACAACACTGATAGAGTCGAATCTTCCATTAAACTGTGGATGATACTCGTTAAAATACTTTGCGTGAAACAGCATGAAGTTCATGCACAATCACTTCCCACAAGTGTGTGTTTTATTCCAAGAATTCTGAATTCCACAACTCACTATAGAGAAGTATCAGATTCATGCATGCCCAAAAAACTATCTCAAAAGCATACACCTAAAAAGTAAATATACTTTCCTTGAAATTCACCTACTAACTAATAAAAACCTTATCCTTGAAATTTATGGTTATATCTTCCTACAAACACCCTCTATATAAAGAACTCCTGCCACACATATCTTCCTAACCAAGAGGGCTTAAGTGAGAGTGCCCACCAAAAAATAAAAAAAAAAATCATGCAAAGAAGCTATGAGTACCAGAGTAGCAGCAGCTATTACGAAATTGAAAGCCAAAGCCGCAGCTATTCCAGTGCCATATCTTCCGCAAACGAGTACTTTCATAGTCTCCCAAAAATACCAAGAATGCCAACCATCATCGCCCAATTTACTCACTTCCCTAACTTCCACAACCTTCTGAATAGTAACTATTCGGGGGAAGAAGTTCCTAGGAAACATCCGGAAAGGATTCCCCATACGAGCCTTCATAACAAGATTCCACGAGTGAATTATCATCTTCACAAGCAGCAGCCTCAGAAGGCGCTTAAGAAAGTTCAATATCATCATGACAAAAGGACCAGTAAAGATGGGAAACAAGATTTTTATGGAAATCGTGATGTAGATGTCGACATGGAAGCTGATAGGTTCATAAGGCAGAGGAGAGAGAACTTTGATTTTTGCAGCAGGGATAATCGCGATGCTTATTAAGTTCGGCTAAAGTGCATGTGGTTGGCAGTTAAAATAGCTAACTAAATATGCCTAGCTCGATCGAGATGAATAACATGTGTATAATCTGTGTTTTGTTTTGATGGGAATTGCGAAAGGGTTTGTCTGTCAAGCCTTTTCAGCTCAGTTTGTATCAAATATTTTGCTTTCCATCTTCTGCATCTACAAAATTATCAAATTCTCACAAATATTTTGGCAGGGCAAGAGGGCTAAATCCTCAAGAAAAAATTATATAAAGGACAGAAAAAAGAATGCAACGAATGTCAGTCAAGATCACTGATTACCCTCACTTTCTGAACATGCATGAAATCTTCAAAATCAACTCAACACAGGCTGAGGAAAATGATGATCATCAGAAGATGAATCATCAGAAGATGAATCATCACAAGAGCCAAAAATTCGAAGCTGTCCCAGAAAGTTCACATAGTTGAACAGAAAGAACACTAAAGCTGCTAAAGATGGAAAAGTCAAAGTCCTTCAAATGTAAGACGATCGTTGTTAAGGCAGATGGGTTTATCAAGTAGAATCGCAAGAATTGGCTTTGTTGCTATGGGATACTTTTGAGGGTAGTATAGATAAGGTCACTGGTCAAGGATTTCTGGCAGGTGAAGGGGAGTCTTTTGCTGAAAATTAAGCTATGCTCGACAAACAAAATAAACAAGAGTCATGCCCACTATATCTTTAGGTTGTGAAAACACTTGATATGTTGTGTTTATCCTTTTTCAGAACTGTTGGTCAAAACTGACATCTTACATCTTCCCACATTCTTGGTTTTCCCTTGTTTTTTGTCTCCGAGCAGGTGAGAACCTCAATTTTAGGGGGATTTGCAGTAGGTATTCATGTCTTAACTGACAGTACTAATATGGATAGGAAAAGTCTAAGCTCAGGTTCAAAGCTTCTTTCGTTCAACATGTTCTATCTTATCCACATCAAAGAAGAAGGGTTAACCAGTGAGCCAAAAAAATAGTCATCAACAAACATTTGAAGATGAATATTTTCAACTAATTCATATAAAAAAGACCAAATTCAACTCATACAATCCCCGTTTGGATCCCTTTTAAAAACCACACTTTACCACTTATCTGATAAACATTCTGAATCACAAGTTATACCAGACAATCCTATGCTATCACTTCTGAGATGTCACAACTCACAAGCATGCTAAGAAGAATGAAACTTGGATTTCCTTTCGTTTAAAACGTATCCACCTCAAAATGAGAAAATTTGCATAAATGATTAAGATGGTTGGGGCAAGTGCATAGGAGACTCTTCAATACACAGTTTAATAGGAAAAAAATTGTAACTCCACATAATTTGAAAAGATAGCCTTTGGCAGAAAACAATGGCATGGTACGATAGCCATACTCTAGATAGTGGGAAATAGCTATGTTACGGTTACCATTGGAAACTTTATCCACCTGAACTGAATGCAAAAAGTTGCTCAAGTTATGCAAAACCAAAACCTTGATTGCATATGGGATTAAATATTTACGTTTCAAACAACAATTACCAGTGGAAGAAAACAAATCTTGTGAACTTCAGATATATCAATTTTTCAATCAAAACAGCATCAGCATAAAACCTTCTAACTCAGGTTAACATCAGCACATGGCAAGACACATCGCATTTATTTTTCCCCCAAATAAATAAGGTGATGATAAATTACTCTAGCATAAAATGAAGCAATTTGGAGCTTAACAGAGTAAATTTTCCACCCAATCACCGCAACAACATTCTCAAGCTAAACTAAATCCGCATATCCATGACAATACGTAACCAGAAAACCTTCATCATATACGATAATCTGCATCAACATTCCATAATCAAATTCTAAAAAGAAGAACATATCAGTCAAACATTCCAAAAAAATATAGCTTTAAGAAAACATAGCCATCTTTACCATCCACGCTTTTTTACTCGATAATGGACTGAATGACACCCGCACCCACCGTCTTCCCGCCTTCCCTGATCGCGAACCTCATCCCCTGCTCGCAAGCAATTGGCATTATAAGCTCAACTTCCATCTTCACCCGATCGCCCGGCATGACCATCTTCGATTCCTCATCTTTATCGTTCTTGATCGTGATCACTTTCCCAGTCACATCCGTTGTTCTCATGTAAAACTGAGGCCTGTAGCCTGCAAAAAACGGTGAGTGCCTCCCACCCTCCTCCTTTTTCAGCACGTAAACAATAGCCGAGAACTTTCTGTGAGGCGTGATGGTCCCGGGCTTAGCCAGAACCATACCCCTCTCGATATCGACCTTCTGAATACCTCTCAGCAGTAATCCAACATTATCCCCAGCCATTGCCTCGTCGAGGGTTTTCTGAAACATCTCGACACCAGTAACTGTAGTGTTCCTGGTCTCACGCAAACCCACAAGATCAATAGACTCGCCAATTCTAATGGTTCCTCTCTCTACCCTCCCGGTGGCCACTGTCCCACGGCCTGTGATGGAAAAGACATCTTCCACTGCCATCAGGAAGGGCAAATCTGTCTGCCTCTGAGGGATAGGGATGTAATTATCCACCTCGTCCATCAACTGGTAGATTTTGTCCACCCACTCGTTTTCTCCCCGCTTAATACTGGGGTTCGCCGTTAGAGCTTCTAGGGCGAGCAGGGCAGAGCCGGAAACAATGGGTACATCGTCACCGGGGAATTCGTACGAGGAAAGTAATTCTCGGACCTCTAATTCGACCAACTGGAGCAACTCCTCGTCATCGACCTGGTCCTGTTTGTTCAGGAAGACCACCATATTGGGGACGCCGACCTGTTTAGCCAGCAAAATGTGTTCTTTGGTCTGAGGCATGGGGCCGTCGGCGCCGGAGACCACCAGAATCGCGCCGTCCATCTGGGCTGCGCCGGTAATCATGTTCTTGACGTAGTCGGCGTGGCCAGGGCAGTCCACGTGGGCGTAGTGCCGGTTGGCGGTCTCGTACTCGACGGTGGCAGTGTTGATGGTGATGCCGCGGGCCCTCTCCTCGGGGGCGGCGTCAATCTCGTCGTACTTCTTTGGGGCGGAGTTTCCGAGGGAGGCGAGGGCCATGGTGAGGGCGGCGGTGAGGGTGGTCTTGCCGTGGTCGACGTGGCCGATGGTGCCGATGTTGACGTGGGGCTTCTTCCGCTCGAACTTGCCGCGGGCTGCGCGGACGGTGAGGGAGCGGCGGCGGAGGAGGAGGGAGGAGGGGGGAGCGGCGGCGGAGGGGCGGAGGAAGAGGGTGGCGGGAGAGTGGGTGAAGGCGGAGGAGAGGATGACTTTGGTCGGTTTTAGAGGGGCGGGGTTTGGGAGGGAAGGGGTGGAGGCGTATGTGTATTTCGTGAAAGATGTGGCGGCGGCGAGGGAGGCCATGGACGGCGGGTGTAGACAGAAATTGGGGGAAGAAAATGGGATGAGGAGAGGAAGTAAAGTGTTTGTTTGTGTGATAAAAGAGTTTGATGTGTTGCGAGAAGAAGAAATGAGGACCTCTCGTCTGCTATCCGATTGCTACCTCCTCTCTAATGATAACACTATTCAAATTGGGGGTGTGGGGTTTGGGAACCTAGTTTGTTTCCAGCGTAAAAGTTTGAGTTCGACTCGTTAATTTACTTGAACGAATTGAAATCCAACACTTAATCGAGCCCTAATGAGAGGAGTCGAAATTATTCGTATTCACTAGTTCTTAATTTTTGTTATAGATTTTCAATGAAATGGTTTGGACATAATTTGAACTCATTCACAGATAATTAGTTCCTTATATTTTATATGGATTTTAAATGAAACTTGTTCGAACAAACATTTCACGTTTGCAATTCAACTCGTTTAAGTTTTGAAGTTTGTTAAACGAGTTGAGAGTCGAGTAAAGCTTTCACGGGCTTAATTGAGTTGGCTCGACTTTGGGTCGTTTGTTAAAACAAAACGAACTGAACGAACCAAGTTGACTCGTTTATTAAAGGAACAAGAACTTACTCGGCTCAAATATGATATAAAAGTAAGCACTATAGCATTATAGTTCGAGAGTCGGAGTAGAGCTTTCACAAGAATTGCACAGTATTCTTCTTCTTTTACAATTCGATAATCTTTGCATAATGGTAGATCAAAATTATTTATACCGTGTTTTTATGCTTCGAGTATAATGTTAAATCAAGTTATTATATCATTATTCATCACAATATGTCGGAATCTCGGATAGATGAATTAACCCAATATATTATAACTTTAACAAGTATATCTATTAAAGAATTATTTTATGTTGTCCTTTCAATATAAAGATCATTGTGAAAGTGTATTTTTATTAAGATACTGTAGTTATGTAACATAATAAACAATCCCACACAAGACCTCTACTGTTTTCAAAATCACCAAGGTATTATCAGCCTTGCTCGAACAATGTTAGAAAATGATTATTTTCTTTTCTATAAGATAGACTCATATTAATAAAAATTAATGAGTAATGCTACAAGTACATAATCGTGTACATAATGGTGTACATAACACTCACATTGAGTGAGACCCACTAAAAATAAAAAAATCAAGTGGACCCTACTCCATGTGAGTGTTATGTAGGTACATTTATTATGTACATGTAGCATTTTCCAAAATTAATTACAAACAAGAAAACTAACAGAACGTCTGAATCAATAAGCTAACTAAGCAAAAATCTATTCAGCTAAACTCGACAACACGAAAGAAACTGAACAAAAACTATCAAACTTTCAGACCGAGAAGAAAACACACTCCATCCATTATTTGAGACTAAATAAACTCAAACAAAAAATTTACAATAAGTAGAATAAACCTCCCTTCCTCAAGCTAACCCGTCATCAGCACTATCCCCACAAGACTTAACCCGCATACAGCCGCACTCGAACAGGCCACCAACAGAACTCAAAGGCAAACACCAACACACTTTAACGTCATCCATCCTAAAGATGAAGCAATAACCGCATATCTAAAATGATATCCTTTGAAAGAAAGAATTCAAAATATTCTCAATAATATTCAGTTTGTGTTTTCGAAAAGCTTCTGTTGTCTCCAAAGTTGAAATTAAAACTCTTAACCAGCACTAAAAATCAACTCAAATAAAAAGCATAAGTTATCACAAATCACAACACTTGGCTCTCGTAATGTCTATTATGCGCAAACATGTAATATTTCCCAGAAAACCGAATATGCAATGAATCAATAGAGCAACCAATAATTCCTAGAATTCATCATGGCAGCCTTAATTCATAGAATTCCATATAATCCACAGACATCTCACCTGAAAGCACCTCCTAACCTACTTCACAACTACATGTGCTCAAGGAGCATCAGCCTGAACCTTTTTGTCAACTCAGCCCAAAAATCGATATCATGCTCAAAAACCTTCACGAATGAGGATGATAATATAAATAACTACTAACAAAAATTTCCTACACACAAGCTAGAAGAATATGGTTACGACAGCTTACATCACAGAAGGGTCATGAACGGTCGATTTATCTTTCGGGTCCTGCAATTCACGTCCATTATATAACTTCTTGTCACAGATGCTAAGAACCTTCTGACGAATTTCTTCCGGGAGCTCCTCCAGAAACGCCAAAACAGCTGCTTTGTGTTTATGTCTCAACTCATCCAACTCCTTCGAGTGCTCGCCCAGGACATGCTCAAGCTTTTCCACAATAATTTTCACTTCATCGAAGGAGTTTCTGCATGGGCCCGCATTCTCCTGCTGAGGTTTACTTGCTTCAGAAGCTGCCCCATGCTTACTCTGACCATCACCATTGGAATTATACTCAACATGCCTCGGAGGAGTAGCATAATCGGAAATATTCACATCATGATGGCTAATAGGAGATTGCATATTCACACCATTGGAATTATACTCCAAAGGCGAGCTTTCGCCACTGGCTTTGGGCGAGTCGGACCAATATTTTCTGCCGGACGGGAGTTTCTCCAAGACGAGTGGGCCCGATTGGGCAGAATCGTTCGTCACAGGCGAGGCATTGTCGTGGGCTCCGGAAATTCCCGTTTCTGGGCCGGCCTCCTCATCGAAATTGTTGTCGGCAGGCAGCTCTCTGGGGGCCCAATCGGGAATAAGGGATTGGATTTCAGAGTCGATCATAGCAGCTACGACCGTGACATCGTGATCGGTAAGATCGAGTTCTTCAACCATTTCACTAGCGACGGAATTGGAAGTGTCCTCCTCGATGTCGAATGGGAAATGAATGTTCCGAATATGACCTGAAAACAAAGAGAATGTAAAGCCGTTGAAGATCATGAATTAACAAGATCTTTTTCTTGGGACGATTATGATAGTACCATTGAGGTTTACTATGAATACCAAGAAAATAGATATACCTTTAAAAGTTACAACAACATGATATTTGTATGTAATTCACAATTACATTCTCAGTGAGTTTTGTTAAGTAATCCAGATTTAATGGGAGATTTTCTGATAGTTCAAGATTACGAGTAACTGGTTTTTTCCCCTTACAGTTAGGTGATGCCTCAAGAGTGGCTTTCTGTATTTAGTACCCATTCATCTGCCCAATTACAGAAAAAGGACTAACCTGATGAATCTGCTATCCGGAGTTTTAAAAATATTGTATTTTGGTCTTTTCTTTGGCCCTGCACTGTGAAATCCCGATTTCCCTCAAGAACAGAGTCATCTGGCTCCTTCCCATTGTAATATCGGTTACCGTTATCACCTGCATATACAAGAGGCACAAAAGAGTGGTGTATACGCCGCTCAGTAAAAGAAAGATATATGAAAATTGAAACCAGTGTTGGAAGGTTGAGGCTGTAGCGAACAACTTCCCGAATTCTCACCCGAATGGAGAAATGGATCCATCAATAATTCTTTGGCAGACAGCCGAGCAGAGACTTTCGCAATGCACTTTTCTATGAATGCTCGAACTTCAGGGTCCACCACTTTCTCAAGTGATGCAGGCTTGATTCCCTTTTAACAAGGTCAAAGAACTTAGTTGTATGGCACAAAAAGTCTAGTGTCACAACTTATCAACCTTAAAACGGGAAAAGAAAAGGGAGAGATCTTTGGTCCAACCTAAAAAATTATTAAACTGCAGTCCTTTCTGGAAATTGGCATTAGAGTGTGATGAGCAGATCAGTTATTTATTAAGATTAGCCAACAAATGCTTAAAGTCTACATAAAAAGAGGACTCCGTTTTGGAAAAATTGAATGGTTTTCCGGATTGATCCGTCAAAAGGGGATAGGTACAAGTCATGTGAAGAGGAAGAAAATATGGTACACAATTTTTTGTTTCATGGTTTATGAACCTTTCTTGTTTTTACGTCCAACCTTTTCTTATCAGTTATCAGTATATAAACTCTGCAGTGCGTAAAAAGAAATGCTTCATCTTCGATAGTGGAGACTCAAGTTCGATGCAGCTGGAGAAAGAAGATGAGTTCACACTGGTGCGGGCAAATACCACTATGTTAACTGTGATATCTAGTTAAGATTTTATAAAACTTGAAGTATTGTGTAGTAAGCACCAGCTAGGGTATTGTCAGCTGAACCATGTGAGTTGATTGCTTTTTCACCTAGTAATTTCTATGCCTATTCTTGTCTTTGCCTTTTTCTCTTACTGTTTCCAGGGAAATTATAACAAACTCTAAATAATCTCTTAAAAAAAGCAAATGAAAAGAAAGGGACTGGAATATAAACATCAAGGAAAATCAATATTAACTTACAGCGGTTACTTTCTTATATATCTGAGCTGCATTGGTACATTCCACATAAGGGTACTCAAGGGTCACAAGCTCCAGCAAGCACATACCAAAGGCATATATATCAACAAGTTCATTGTATTCCTCCTCATAAAGCTCCGGTGCCATGAACTCCGGAGTCCCTTAACCAAGATCACATTTTTTTCCCCATTAAATACTAAAAAGAAAACACGTAAAACTTATGCACTTATACTAACTGAAATCTCACCTATGACACTGTGAGCTGCACGAGCTTGCTGAAGAATAGCAGCAAGTCCCAAGTCGCCTATTTTCACCTCCCCTTGATTCCCATTAACAAAAATATTATCACATTTCAAGTCCCGATGAATAACTGGGGGGTCATGGCTATGAAGATATGAAAGCCCCTCCAGGATTTGTCGAGACCATTTTTTCAGTGCGCGCACATCAACATGCTTGTGTTTCTTTCTATACCTATATGGACATATAAACCAACTCAATATACATTTTATAAGGTGGGAACGTAGCTCATAGTAATCATCACTCGAGAAAAATGTTAAGAAAAGCTTCTTCCTTTATTCTTTTAGAAAAAGAAA